TTGACCCAGAATACTGCGCAACTTCGTAACGGCCAATGAAAGAAGCGATAGCGACCCCAAAACAGTCCCATAGTGCAATTCGACATAACACATACCCAGTCTCACGCTTAACCTTATATTGGATCCAAGCCCATCCACCATTGTTGGATATAACTGGTAGCAAACCAGGAAGCCATTTTGCTCGTAATTGGCGCGAGTTTTGACATGGCCAAATCTTTGCGCTGAAAAACGCTTTCCACTCTCAGGAGATTGCGGATATGGTTGCGGAGTGGTCTTCGCAGATTAGAGTCAAACTCAATAGCGACAAGTGTAAGGAGCTCAGGATATCTTTTGCAAAGGATGAGCCCCAGTTTGCGCCTATTGTTGTAGATGGTAATGAGCTAGAGAGTAACTAGTGCTTAACTTCTAGGTCTGACCATATCGAGCAACCTACGTAGAACGAACAAAGTAGTGACATAATCAAGAAAGCCTTAAAGCGTCTGTATGTTTTAGTGCAGTTAAAGAGGTCAAGAGTTCGACGGCAGGATATGTCCACTTTTTACACTGCTTGTATACGCTCTGTTCTTGCGTACGCAACACCCGCTTTTTTTATGCCCTGCCAAAATATTTAAAAAACGGATGGTGCGAGTCAATATGCCCAGGACTGCCCTACTAGGAGGCTATTGAACTGGTGAACATTGTCCGTATTGTTGATTTCATCACCGGGCTATGTAGCAATTCTTTAGACATCATTATAAAGGGCCCTGAACCCCGTCTGAACAGTTTAATACCATTCAGTGGACCGTCACGTTATGCTCTAAGGTGCAACAGGCGTTTCATCGTAACTAAATGCAAGGCAGATCGTTTTAGGAATAGTTTTATTATCAGATCCTGTATTGATAATATGTATAAGTAGATTTTTAGTCTTTTTATCAAAGCTTTTATCTCCGTTAGTTTATACACTAAAAACATTTAGTATATAATAAAACAGTGGATAGTGTTTTTCGCGCGCTCTGATTGGCTACTCAATCTCCAGACATCCAGTGCTATTCACTGATTCACATCCAGTTCCTTTGAGCAAACGACGCCAAACTCGCGTAAGTTGCGAGCGTAAGTTATCTACCGAGCTTCGCGGCGCGGTAAATACCTCCCCCACTAGCCACCTTCACTTCGGTGAATAATTGGTATGTATCATTCTCCTTGTATACACTTGTGTACTTGACTACCGTAAATCCTCTATTAAGCGCCCCTCTCAAATAATACCCCTCCCTATAATATGGCCCCCCCCCCATTTTCAGGAGAAGAAAGTTAATAAGCCTCCCTCTCTGTTAATCCCCATCCCCTCTCTTAATTATTCTTCAATAGTAAATGATAGACTGTATTAATCAAGCACGTCCCTAAAACTTCGCGTGGACTGATCCAGGATGGTTAATTTACAAAGCGGAAGTTCAGATTTGTTTCCGATCCTCGGATGCATGACCTCCAACCTTCTTGTACTTGAGCTTCTTCACTTTGCATTCTAGTTCTTTATGGAGAACTGATACCATATGAATAGGCCTCCCGCAGTGGTCTCTATTACGCCCCTCCTGGGGGGGGGCGGGCTTTATAGAGGATTTACGGTATGTAAACACCTTGTATAGTCTTATATCATGTATATACACTAGTATCCACCTTATTTACACCTATATACACCATTTTACAACTTGAGTGACAACTTTAATACACCTTGGCGTTACTGCGCCGCGCTCCGGAAAGTCTTACCTAAGTCTAATTGTATTACATTATATAATACGATGGTTCTGCCCTTATTTGAGTATTCCGCGGTCGTTTAGGATAGTTGTGGTCAGGGTAGTAAATCCTACTTAGACAAGCTAAATCGCCGTGCTGCATGTATAATCGAGGGCCGTGAGGTTAAGTCACACGAACTTTCTACCATATTTGGCTAGCCCCATTTGCAAGCGTTAGGTTAATTTCATAACTCTTCATTACTTCTCGTAAAATATACTGGTAAAGTTCTTACTAGTTCGGTTGGTACTATTTCGAAAGGTTTTTGCTTTTCTTCCAGGTTCTTTCCAAGGGGGAGGGGGAGTTCTCCGGATTTCAAGTGACAGGGATGATCGCATGGGGGCAAAAATCAAAACCCCAAAAAATCCCTGCGGCTTCAAACAATCAAAACCCAAAAAAACCCTTGGACCAAAATTTAACCCCAAAAAATCCCATGCCGAATTTCCGGGGCTTGAAAAATTCCAGAGGAACTACGCAGCCGGGATACCTGGGAACTATCACCGAATCTTCATACTGTTTTGAATACCCAAAAGAATCTCTACTTAAATCAAGCCACCCAAAAAATACTTGCCAAAATTTCGTACCCAAAGAAATCCCGAAATCGAAAATTTCAAACCCAAAAAATCCTTCGATCATCCCTGTCACTTGAAATCCGGAGTCCTCCCCTGGGTTTTTTTTAATACAGTATTGACTTGACCTTTGGATTCTTCTCTGTCAGCTCTGTGACTAGTCTCCCACGCAGACGTTCTTAGGGGTTCGTCATGCGTTCCTACCCCACTAACAAGCGCGAAATTTCTCAAGGTCCAAAGTGCACTTATCAGATCTGGAAGTCTGCTGTGATTGGTCTACGTTTTTTCCGCTCAAATCAGCAGATACAGTAATGAGGCAGGAACGCGTGACGTCGGTGACGAACCCCCAAGAACGTCTGCGTGGGAGGCTACTCTGTGACTGTTGTGACAGTAATGTGATCCTGCTATGAATAAAGCTGCCAGGTCGCGTGACTGATCAGATAATTGTTTGTTTGCAGCATACCGGCACATACTTGGTTCACCGCTTGAGAGCGACTGTTTTCGCTGACTTGGTGCCCGGCAAAAAAGCAGGTAAGAAAATTAGGCGTTCCAACTGCATCTACGCAGTGCAGACGGCGTCGCAACAAAGGACTAAGGAGACGTCTGCTCGCAGGCCAAAATAGACCGCTTTTTTAGTGTGTAGTTCATTCAGTCCGGTTCAATTGATTTAGACTGCGAGCCGTCTCTTACATTTCTTTGCAAAGTTACTCCACGATTATAACCCATGCACTTGAGCTGCTATAATTCCTTATTGTGATGTTGCATTCGCTTTGGCTGGGACAAGAACTGGAAGGATTTTAAAAAGCGAGCTATTCATGTCAGAGGCTTAAAATCCTTATTTATAAACAACGATTGTATCGAACACCTTGGTACTGTGGAACCCCGCTATAAGACCTCCACTTTACACGGATAGTTTCCGCAGAGGGTACTATATAGCCTGAGTATCAGGCCTTCCTAAGGGTCTAGGGGAGAGGAGATTTTAGATGGGGGAGAGGGGAGCTCTCTCCCTTTTTCGCTTCCATCTTTCCCCTTTCCCCCCAGAAACGCCTGATACTCAGGCTAGGTTTGGGGGTGAAGGTCTACCGCTGTCACACTCAGGTCACACTGTGCTTGGCCATATTCAACTGTATTCTAGTCCAGGCATCAAAAGCCGACAGTCGACCGAGGTATCGGCCGTTACGTCGACCAAGTGTCGGTGAAATGTCGAGGAAGTGACCGATAGACTGTAGGGGGCGACTAACGGACACTTATTGGTCGAGATTCAACTGACACTCGATCGATAGACAACACAAGACAAGACAATACTTATATGCAGTCTTATACCAGCCGATACATCGACTGTATTCGAAATAAACTAAAATTACAATCTTCTACGTTAAGGCGACCGATATGTCGACCGACAGTTGACCGAGATAGCGGCCCGCCGATACATCGTCGACACCCCCAACAAGACACATGACTCAACTTCCTCCTACCCTAACCTGCCGCTTACAAGACCTGGGCTTGTATACAAATTTGTAAGGGGTTTTAGGAGGACTTATCAACGGAGGGGCTTATAGAAAAAATACAATGGACGCGAAAAAGTTCTTCGAAACAAGCTATAGCAATTGCTGATAAAAATACGTTTTGCATAAATTTTACTAGTTTTTTATAAAGGTTCAAAAGGTCATAATAATCAAATTCCTTTCAATGCACAGGTTTGTTTGTTTAAAGGTAGATGTGCCTATAACATGGGGGAGGGGGTCATAAAAGTGACCAATTTCCTTTGAATACCATTTTCTAAATCAAATTTCGGCAAATTCCTCAATTTCGGTACGCTATCCCAGACGCCTACCCTTATAAATGGTGTGGTAGTCTTTAATTTATTGTCCAACGAGAAGCTCTTATAGTGATCTCTCATAGCTTAAAATAATACGGACAACGAACGCTTTGTTTGACCCGAGTGAAATGCTTTCGTGTAAAGTCAACCCTGCTCTACGGATACTGATGATTTGCACAGTTGATTTTGACAAGTTTGAACCAAGAGAGGTTATGTGAGTACCAAGGTCTTGCACCCGCTGCAATCCTATTCGAAAGTGGTGGGGATATTTCTTACCCCTTCGCAGCCGTTTTAAGGGTAGTCTAGGAGAGGAGCGTTGCGTGACGACCCTAAAAGTGGGTACGGAGGAGATTATTCATACCCCTGAAGTCCCTAAAGAAAGGATAATCTAGGCGTGGCTCAGACTTGCGATTCACCTTTTATCTTGAAACACGAACTTGCTTGTCCAGTGGTAGTCTTCTTGACTCATATGCCTTGTCATCATGGATTGCAAGTGCGGTGAAGTTTAAACCTCCAGATTGTTTTTAACCCTTTAGGTCTTCTAGTAAAACTTGAGTAAGAATTATAGTCAGCACGAATAATGGAAGCTGACATCGCCGGTATTTCCGCAACAACTTCTAAAGTGCTTAAAACTAAAAGATTACATTAAGATGATTCCCGTAATTTATCATTGACAGCATAAATAACACTTCATGTTCTTGAAACGTTATTAAAGGCATTGATGATTTTTTTTAGGCAGAAAGCTTGTCAATATTGAGATCAAATCCATCATATTGTCTGAACCTTCTTGAGCGTTTTAGCAGTGGCATTTTAAGGAGAAATTAGGTGCTAATCTTATTAATGGGTTTATGAGTAAATGTACTTTGTCTTGTAGCATGGCAGATGAAAAGGATTCATCACATCAGTTCGATGACATCATCAAGACGGTGTGCGAATTTGGAAGATGGCAAAAATTTATCTATTTCACAACCTGCGCCCTTGTTATTGTGCCCAGTGGCATTCATATAGCTGGAATGTACTTCATAACTGGTACACCTAAATTCCATTGTGTCACCCCAAATACCACGTGTCTTGAGAATAAGTGCTGTGACAACTGTACAGAGTATGCGTTTGATGGACCATTCATCAGCACAGCAACCGAGGTACGTATACATATACATGTGGTTGCATTAACCTTTTGACCAGAGTGAAAATTCACAAAATTTTTGCAATTGCGAATTTGTGAAAGCCTTAGAGATACACCCTACTCAATAAATTTTGGTTTATTTGAATAGTAACACACTAAGATTTTGTCGATTGACGTCAGAGCGAATGTAACCATAATGAATTCATCCCACAATAACTCATTCTAGAGCAACTTTCTCCCTAGGCAGAGATTGTTTACACGATAACCAGCTACCTCCAATGGAAACAATTACATTACTAACAAAGACATTTAAAAGACTACATAGCGTCTGTAGTCGAGTTAGCGAGAGTTCGAGTTATCGATGCGAGTGAGATTACCTTGGAGTGAGCGAGAGGCAAAATCGCGAGGTAGAAGACTGTGATTTCTCGCGCGTTTTCCTCCTTCGCTCGTAATTGAATGCTCGCTAGCGCCACCATCCTGAGGGACGGCAGGCCAAATAGATGCACAACCCCAACCCCCTTGCGCGACCTCAAAATGGGCAAGTGGATAGTACGCATGGGTTGAGCTTGGAATGGAAGGCAACAACAGTTAATGAGACACGTCTTCAACATAGATTCGTCTAAACAGTTTAAAAAGATTACCTTATTATAGGAAATGAACAGTGCACTCTATTGACTCGATTTTGAAAAAATCGCGTTAATTTAATTCATCTTAATTTACGTCATGTTAATTTAATCACACTATTTTACTTCACTGTTGTTTTACAGCACCTTTATTTCAATAACAGAACCTCGTCTGCTCATAGTTCTTCTATCAACGCCTCGGAGTCACTGTCTGACATTTCTTCTTTAAGAATTCAGTTAAAAATGTCTTTCGACTGGTCTTCGTATTGATCTGTTTCCCAGAGAGAATAGCTAACTTCTTCAATCTTTCTTCTTACGGAGTAATAACATGATAACAATGAGATAACAATGACTGGAAATGCTGCTGTTTTTTTCTTTAGATATGTGTTGAGAAGTTTGTATTGCAGCAAATTCGCGTAAAATAAAGTTAGGCGCACATTGTTGTCGAAAATCTCGCGTAAATTTGATGTATGTAAACCTAACTTTTGGACAATTCGCGTTAATTTTGTGTTAAGTAAATTTTCTTCGTGCTGCCAACGTGCATCGTTTATTTCCTATAATAAGGTAATTCCCTTGCAACTTGATTTCGTTTTGCAGTGGAATCTGATTTGTGACAGAGCTCATGTGGGTGCAAATGTGCAAGCTGGTTATGCTGCTGGAATGTTGGTTGGCTCATTCGTTTTTGGAGCCATATCGGATGTCTTTGGACGACGATTTTGTATGCTTCTGTGCTCCGTGCTTGCGGTACGTACGATACTCAAAGACAACACCCAAGACTGCGAACAGTCTCTCTTTTTCTTCAGATTTATTGAGGGGAGTGCATGCGCGCGCGGGCGTCGAGCAACTGCTAGAAATGAGGACGGGGCATTTCCCGCCTCGTGCCCTCTGTCACGCGCGTGGACATGATCGTCTCTCTTGCGTTTCGCTCGACGGACTAAGAAATAAGAGAGACTGTTCGTAGTCTACAAAATCCTGTCAAATACCTATTTTTAATACCTATCGTTAAGAGGCTTATGTTCAAAAGGGGGTGAATTACGAAGGGGGCAGTATCATACGAAGGAAATTCCTTTAAAAATCGTTTGGGCTTTTAATCGGAGGGAAACTTGTGTCAGACGGGACGTCCTGGCCCCAAGCGTTCAAAAGGTGGATAATGCTATCCACTGGATAGCGCAATTGGTTTCCTTAACACTTAGCTGCTGGATAGTGATTTATCCGGTGGATAGCGCCTGATCAAACATTTGAACAACCCGGGCCTGGAATAGAGGTGTCTTAAAGGAGAAGGTTCACCTTGGTTAATAAAATGCAATGGTTATTTATGAAGCCCGATAGATTTCTTCGCTATATGTTTTTATTTGCTCTTTTGCACAACATTGAATAACACTCCTATAATTTTAAACTAACTCATCAATAGAAACGTAACATTTATTTTATTCAGTCACTATCTGTTCCCCAAAACAAAAGATTGTGCCCTGTCCCACGGTAAACTAAAGGACCATTGTTCACATCGTAGATTTTTTTTGTGGCTTTTATAAGCTGTGTTTTCTACTAACTTCGGTTTCACTGTTAACCCTAATCTTATTTGGATCGCACGTCGGAAATCTGAACTCGAGACTGCGTGACCGAAGAGAGCGCGAGGGGTGATGGGAAGGAGGACGATGAAAAGGAGTCTCCCCTCTTTCCTTCTTCCCATCACCCCTAGCACTCCCCTTGACCGCGCATCTTCCGTTAATAGTGAACTCTCGCAACAGTACGGGAGAAGACGGAAAACCTTGTTTGACAAGCGTGGCCATAATTTTGTTTGAGAAAGCGTTCCGCCAAATTTCACCCTCGTTTTAACAGAATTTTTAGTAAAAGACCAGAAAACATAAATGTAAGCGAAGATCACGACAAAACACGCAAGTAATTGCCCTGTCACGTTTGTCGCACACAAGTGAAGTGCCATTGTCTTCTTTATGCCATGCTGTTGCGTAAACTCACTAATAATAACAGAAGTTTCACTGTACACCATTTTTATTAGACACTGTTCAGCCTGGGGGCGAGTTTGGTGGACTGCCTGTCATTCTTCACCTTCCTCCGTTTTGGAACGTCAGCCTCCATCACGGGCTTCTTTGTGTGTCATTACGTGTACATCCTGGAACTTGTAGGTCCCAGTTATCGCACTATGGGCGCGAAAGTGATGGACTTCTATTGGGTGACTGGTGCCTCTATCATGGCGCTCCTGGCTTACCTCATCCGGGATTGGCGAACTTTGCTTCTCGTGGCAAGCTTTCCGCCAGCTCTCTTTCTTCTGTTGTGGATGTATGTTAAGCAGTTTTGTCATTTTGTCACACTTTACGCAACGCACTCTGAAAAAGAGCACCGTGAAAAAAATTTGATGTTGACAGGCGACTCTTTCTTAACGGACACCACTATAAGACGGACATCTCGGTAAAACGGACACCTAAAGTTGGTCCCTCCCTTTCTTTACAGTCAACTCTCTCCAAGACAGACACCTTTGGGACCGGTACTAAGTGTTAGTCTAAGAGGGCCGTCCGTCTTATAGAGAGTTAAACAAGGAAGCAAAGAAAGGCAGGGACCAACTCTAGGTGTCCGTTTTACCGGTCTTTATAGAGGTGTTCGTTAAACTGTAATCGCATATTTAACTCTCTATAAGACGGACATCTCTCTTAGACGGACTCTTTGTGCCAGTCATAAAAGTGCCCGTCTTGGAGAGAGTTGACTGTATTATAGCCTATTTAATGTCGATAATTTAAGATGTATGAATAGTAATGCCTAATTCGGGTTGTGTAGAGTTCTATGTCTTCTTGAGCATGAGCCGATATGCACTCATTTTAAGCTAATTTTTCTCTTCCACAGGGTGCTACCAGAATCGGCAAGGTGGCTTCTCGTTAGGGGAGAAGTGGAAAAGGCGCATGACGTCCTGAAGACGTACGCTGACAAGAGTGGAGTGACAGTGGACTCAGATTCTTTAAGAGGTTCACTGACGAAATGTTACCAAGGAGAAGCAGAAGTAGAAACACACAAGATCCGTCACACGCCGCTTGACCTACTGAGAACACCGC